AGTGGCTTTTTGGAGGAGCTGTAGACAGTCGACAGAATAGAGGACTGTAACAGAGATCTTGGGATGCTGGACCCGGTTTCCAGCCAAGCCAAAACTGGGTAATGGCCCCAGTCGTTTGTTTCCGGGGGCCAAGTCCCACTAGCAGCGTTGAGCTACCTCAACGCCTGAATCTGGACGTGTTTGTGGAGACGTGCAGTTCAGGAAACTCAACACCATTTCTGCACATCTCCGGAAAAGCGTCCAGATTCGGGCGTTGAGGTAGCTCAACGCTGCTAGTGGGACTTGGCCCCGGGCGTATTGTGAGGTTGCCCGGCCTCTGTTCAACTTGGTAATAAAATTTTGTTTCCTCCAAAAAAAAAAGAAAAAAAAAAAAGGTCCAAATTGAAAAAACAAAAAGTGACTGGCCATTGCTCGGCGCTAGCACCGCCGATTTCCCCATCGGCAATGCCTGCCCACCCCTCGTCACCGTGATGAGGGACTGGTACAGCCTTGCTCTCGCACCACCGCTGTGGTGCCAACCTACCCCGTAGGCTGGGGAGAGATCCGGGTTGGTTGGTGTTCCCCCGTACTACATATACACTAGTGAGAGGATGAGATAGACGAGTACTAGCAAARAAAAATGAGATTAAAAAAAAAAAAAAAAACCGAAAAAAGAACCCGGTATCTATTACAGTACCGGACAGGCGCTTCCAAAAAGGCAATTTATCATTATTTTTGTGGATACGTACGCCAAAGTTTAAAGGCAATTTATCATTATTTTTGTGGATATGTACGCCAAAGTTTAGGGGCATATCCGGCAACTCACCAATTAGGAAAGTCAGCGACATTCAGATAAGTTTGGGGGAGTAAATTGCGCCTCTCAGGGCATGGTTACGCTACTAGGACTTCGTTACTTACTTCCGGAGGCGATTGTGGCCAGATAATCCAGGTCCGGCCAAAACGCGGTCAGATACATTTAAGATAGTGCTAGCATGAGCACGACTCAGGGCGGAGTCAGGAGCTCGCGGCGATACTCTCAAAAAAAAATGTAGTGAATGTATCTGCTGCTAAAAGATGGAAAAATACAGTCACTTTTTCTTTGTGGTTTTCACATCTGGCGACTGCTGGAGCCATGTTCCACGAATGCATCCGACCGAACTACGGCATCATTCAGGGGAAGGGGGGGGGGGGGGGGAGGGGAACAGATGGAGAGTCCTCAGTCTCATCGCTGACAGTCGTGTCACGTGCTTGGGGCTATCGGCGACACCAGCGCCATCGCTCCCTCCAAAAGCACGACGTCCAGAACGAGACCAAGGGGCCTGCTCCACTACTCAACGTTCTTCATGGATCTGGACTCCCAAGTGGACCAGATATATTCGGACTGATGAAAGATTCTTAGAGTATCTGGACCATTATCTAATCCAGATCCGTTTAGATGATGTGCAACGGAGCAAGGCTCCAATTCCCATACAATTGATACATTCACCTCTTCCTTCTCATTGTGCGGTCTGCCACCGTTCTCTCTCTCTCTCTCTCTCTCTCTCTCTCTCTCTCTCTCTCTCTCTCTCT